CTTTAAAAGTGTCACAAGTTTCACCCATAATGTAAACAAAAAAGCGTTGCTACTGTTTTGCGCCAGAAAACGAGACCCAGGGTAACTGAGTGTGCCATTGATTCATTGATTTGTTTGTACAAAATGAAACACTAAAATCGATGGTAATTAGTCATGAGCAAAATGTCAGCAGTGCTGATCTAGAAGTTTAGCCTTGGTTGGGAGGACAACTTTACGGTTGACAATGGAAAGCAATTATCTCTGAAAAGAGATCTCCGTGGGAACTGCAAAATGGTATGTTGTGAACTATAAACACTGACACTTGTTGATCGCTCATCCAAGGCCCTCATATAGCACAAACGTTGCAGATATAGCTTTTTGTCTCATGTGGGAACGATGTCTGAATTCATAATATGAATATAATATATTATAGCACCGAAAAAAGCACTGCGAGTAACGACAAATGTAGGTTTTCCCGTCCAATTTCGGAAAATGCTCGATCTAATTTGTTAACAAAAATTCAATTTTGCGAAGGTTTTGAAAACGACTTAAAACCTTGTTTCATGTTCGCAATAACAGGTAGTCGACCTCGTTTTGCATTCTTGAAATAAATGACAGTGCATTACGTTTTTAAGGGTTATAAAAACGTGACTGGGATTTTGGATTGACGTATTCCTTGCCAATTACAACAACCGTGCATTCTTTTTCGCTAAAAATCGGCCTTTTACCGTGACCCTTCAGACGAGAGTACTCTGTTTTATTTGCTGTAATTCAAAAGGGCGAAACATACAAGGCTGCACAAATCATGACACCAATTTGATAATAAATGTCATGTTGCTCATGAATGCATATAGTGTGTTTGTTGCAGCAAAAGAAGGGAGGTTCCCTCAGCACTGGTGTTTATATAGGATTCCTACTATAGTCGATATGTTTCCAAAGACAACATGAATGGTTTGTTTCAATCATGGTTATTCAAACATTTAACCAATCAACTACACACGTCAAAGTATGTAAGTTCTATTAGCACACCTAGTTCAGCAAAGAATTCTAATTCCTGACCAGGCATACGTTAAGTAACACTTCCCGCGACATCGTCCCCATATTTTGCGAAGTAGATTGAGTTTAAATCAAGACGAATGCGGATTACAAAGGTGCATTAAATTTCGTGCAAAAATGAATGTCATATTGGGAAATTGAACGCTGACTTTATACAACCACGGAGGAAGAACGGGGAGGGAGGTACAACTCTGGCAATTCAAAGTGCTCGATGAGCGTGGGCGCTGGGTCAGACGGACAATAGTAAACATTCCAAACATGTCCGACTGCCTGTTGCTTAGCCCATGGAGGAATAAAACTTGCTTAGCCGTACAAGTGGGGCCAGTAACATCCTGGTAGTATTTGGTGTGTTTGTTTGTAATTAACTACAACTTGTCACCGTGACCAGAGCGAAAACCTCTAACATTAGGCCTAGGCCTACCTTTGTCATTGTAAATAATCTGTTTTATTTTGATACACTATTCCATTATCCATGCAATGTTGGTAAGTTTATTTTGTCTCTCCAAAACATCAGTTTTCAAAGTCTTTGTACGAATTTGGCTAAAACTGGCCAACAACATGTTGACCACCACTGGACATTTACGTTCATAACAAACAAAATGCGCTTTTTTATCTCAAGGAGTGATTATAACATCTCATAAAATACCTTTTTGTATGAAGTCCGTAATAAAAATGAGTCAAATGAAATACAACATCTTATAAACAACTTCGCTATTTATTCCAAAAATAACTACAGAAGAAAGCGTTCGGTAAGGGCAATTACTGTACGTGACCACTTAGAGCGCACACCCTAATACAAGAAACTGCGCAAGCATTAAATTTGATGTTGTTTTAGCATCATACCAAGCGCCAACGATGGCATGAATATTCAAATTCCTATACTGTAACACACAACATTTTCAGGACGCAGATTACATGCTAAAAATCGCGGCAATGATCATGCAGTACAAAGGGGCTTATGGTTGTGAAACAGGTGGCACACAGCAAGCATTCGCTGCGCTCTGGCCATATACATACCGGGCATGCCAGAAAGCGGTAATTGGCCAGATGTTACAGCCCGGGCAGTTCAAACTCCTTCTGTGTCCCTCCTCCTTGACGCAACTGAATGCACCCTCATTGAAACAGAATTTAGAGTTTGTTAAATACAAACGGGAATTTGAATGTTCGTTCTATTTCGCTTGAAAACGAATGCTACTATAATTAATTCATTTGCACATTTTCCGAAATTGGCCGGGGAAACCTATATCAATATGATGATATTTTCAAAAGATCTCGCTGGGATACAAGTACTTGGCATATCACAAGACAGAAATTGCTGTTCTTACTCAGTCTGGCAGACATGTTGGAATAATATAGGAATGGCTTTGAGGGCTTTTCTATAAAGCCATGAAATTTGATTATCATTTGAACTTCGGTAATTGTACTGTGTTCGTCGCGCTTGTTTCCATTCTTTATTTGGTCAGGAAACTTGTTTAAAGACTTCTTTATTTGTTCGCTATGGGATCTTATATGTAGAGTTCATTACCCTGGAGTCGGCGAGGAGATTAAAACGCGTCGATTTATTCGACACACTTGTAATAACAGATTTATGTTCAACATTCAATGGGACATTGGAAACCAATGAATACGCCAATAATATAACACAATTGTTTACCATTTTACGCATCAAGAAACGTCCACCTGGCTAGGTTAGAACAAAAGAATTTACACGATCATGAAGTAAATCGATGTAATAGGGGTACAGGGACACATTTTGGAATACGAGTAAAAACAAAGGGTCGCATCGACCTATCCTAGGCCCCATAAATAGATCTATGATACGAGGAATGAGGTCAGTCAAAATACCGTTTTACTGCAGCTGATCCCAAACTATTTTTTTTGAACTAAAAGGAATATGTTCAGCTCAATGGACTTGTTCATATCAATTCCCTGTAAACAAAGGTAGCTAAGTCTTTAGAGCAACTTTAAAAAGAGTCAGCTGATAACGAATTATATTCCACCATATCAAAAACAGTAACTAAATGCTCAAGGGAGAATTTAAACATCTGATTTGCATTCACGTCTGTAGCCGTAGCAGTGTGGGGAAGTAAGAGGCTCCCATACACCTCTCCTTCAAGAAAATAATACGTAAAAATACTCTTTTTCAAAGGCGAGTAATGCTATTTTTTTGTACATTACTTTCCCTTAAAAAGCATGTAAAATGCTCTTAATAATAGACTCACCCTAAGAATTGTATCAAAAGTTCCACAAAAAATGAGAAATTTCTGCATGTTCACCGCTGGAAAATTTGGTTAAGATCTCTGTTTTTTCTCACGTAGATGAATGTGGGGCAACTCTCAGGCAAGGGTTTTTGCAATTCAATGAATTCTAAATGACGTCCTAGAGAAAATTACATAAACACACATGATATACACAAAAAACCACAAAAGATTTAAAAAAAAAAATTATTTTAGAGGGTATGATCCAGCCTCGGTCATTAAAAGGGTCCCCGTTGATCAACAAAAGTACACAACCTCAATAAAGCAAGTGCATAAAATAAAATAGCAGGAATACCTGTGCCTATAGTTTCTGAAAAAATAGATTCCTATGTGCCTGTTTGTGTCACACGAATCTGGATCACGATCAGGGATCCCGAAGCCGGCCCACTCAATCCATCAGGTGGGTTCTTGTGTTAATGAACCAAGGATTGATTGATTGTTCTCTTTGAAACAAACAATGTGATACGTTGGACGATCCTTCCCTGACCAGTTGTAGGAATACAGGGTGGATTCGATTTCTTGTTTTGGGGCAAATCAAGAAAAGATATTTTCGTCAATCAAGGACAGTCGGCTCAATAAATTCTGTTGGAATGCTTTGACCAGCTCTCTTTGTTATTCAGACCTTGAGTATCACATTGGGCGCGAATTGTGTCTAGCCGCGCAGGTGTTGATGTACCGCAAGGCTAACATAAAAACACTTGAAGCGGTAGGATTAACCATGATATGATAACAGCGGACATAACATGACCCCAGCCAAATTTTCGTAAAACCAAACTAAGTAAAATTGCAGACATAACATCGCAAGAACAAGATCGCTGAGAAAATATCTTTTTTTTTTCTTTTAAAAAGAACTCTGATAAAGCTGGACTGCGTAAATTTGTTTTGTTTTTGACCACGGAAGTAGGTCAAAGCGGTCGTATCGACTGCTTGTTGTCCTTGTTACAGCTTGGTCTTGAAACTGTCTATATAAACAAATTTTTTACGAGAAAAGTACAATGTGGTTTGATTGTGTAGGAATTATGACTGTCAGTGATTTGCGCC